GGGCAACATACGTAACCTAAACATCTGTACCCCCATAATATGCTGAAATAAAAGAAAAAAAATATTATATTTACAGAAAAATTACAAAAAGAGCCAGAGTTCCCACAGACCCCATGCCCAGGTTCCCCCGTGACCATCCTCTACATTTGTCACGATTGGTACACGTTATTAACTGAAGGCCACGTGGGATTCGTGTTTCCTCCGTTTGCTCCTGGTGTTCTTGCGTCCCTGGATGCCACGTGACATTGGTCAGCACGTCTCCTTCAGCTTCTCTTGGCTGTGACAGTTTTTCTGACTTTCCTTATTTCTGATGACCCTGGCGGTCTTGCGGGTGCTGGGCAGGCATTTTGTGGAATGTCCCACGACTTGGATCTGTCCGGTGCTTTCTCGCGGTTATTTGGAGTCACCGGTTTGGGAGGAAGAGTGCAGAGGTGAAGTGCCGTTCTCCGCTCATCCTGTCAAGGGCGCGCCATCGGCGGGGCTCGTCACTGGGCGTGTGGACCGTCGTCACCCGGCTGGCTCAGCGTTTGTCGGGTTTCTCTGTAAAATTACTCATTTCCCCTGTTCCCACACTGCCCTCTTGGGAAGGAAATCGCTTCGCCAGCTCACATTCGAGGAGCCGGGGGTCACGCTCCGCCTCCCTGAGGGCCGAGTGCACAAGTCATTTGCAGTTGCTCCACACGGGAGAGTCACCTCTTCCGTTCCCATTATCTACTCAATCGTTTATTTATATCAGTAGAGACTCGGGGGTATTTGTTTTCTACTTTGGGCTTTAGTCCAATGCCATGTTATTTATTTAGCACTCAAAATGTTCAGCTTTGGCTACTGGGCATTGCTCAGTGGGCTTCTGCATTTTATTGTCCTGTGGTGTTGACATACCTGTCACCGTGGGTTCTGCTGTTTTTTGGGTGGGGGTGGGGTTGTGGTAGTCATTTTTTTTTTTTTTTTTTGAGCACTTTCTTATTAGGCTCATCTGTGTATTTCCTGCCCCTGTCCTAGAATCAGCCATGTCTCCAACAAGCCCTGGTTCCTTTTGTGGAGAAGGGGGTTGGACATCGGGGCCTGGGCACCAGGTGTGCTTGCTCACGGCTCCTGGGGTGCCGTTGCTGCTGGGCCCCCTCAGCTGTCAGAGCAAGGAGACATGTATGTGTAGGAACCTGTGTATACACACGCGTCTATAAATATTCCTGTGCATACCATCTGTGTCTATACCGAGACAAGCATGACTTCATGCCGATGTCTCCAACCCCAATCTGTCACCTACATGGGTCTTTCCAGCCTCCCCCGGGCTCGCCCGTGACCTCCCCTTCTAGTCCTGCAGTATCTGGCACGTAAGAGCTGCTCTTCCTTAAAAGGTTGTATTTCTTCCGAGCTCAATGTTTTCCACCGTGCTCATTTATTTACCACCCATCCCCCACTGCCACCCTGGTCCCCAGTGTGTTAGGCAAACAGTAACTTAACAAGACACTGTGTTAAGTCTTAGAGGTAGACATTTTGTGAGACATGGGAGCCCAGAGAACGCTGGGGTACCCCCCAAGAAGCAGGACCCTTCCGATCCCTAAGAAAGAAGGCTGTGTGTGCCAAGTGCTCTCGCGGGCTCTGAAGAGGACTCAGTTCACAGCTGGCCAAGGGTGTATTCTCGGGGAGGGGCCGCCCTTGACTGATTGCGGCAGTGCTCGCAGGAGAAGGGGACTGACGCAGGCAGCCTAGGGCAGGGGGGTGCTGTTCGGCAGGGTGTGATCTCCCCGCAGTCTGCCTCCAGCGTGATCTCATGGGGTGCTGAGTACGAACTGCACCACAGGTGGGTGGCACCTGGACGTGGGGCGAGGGCTCTCATCCCCCAGTGTGGGTCAGCCTTTGCACTGCCTCTGAGGAGGGGCATGGCCTCTCGGGCGAGGTGGAGGGAGGAAACCCTTTGGAGAAGGAGGCAGCCAGGAGCATCCAACACCCAGCAGCCAGGGACGGCTACGCTGACCTGGTGAGGGGATCTGGGAGGATCACCAACAATGCCAGATTTCATCGGAAAGTTCTTAACTCTCTGGGAGGATGACATGAAGCCTGATTGTTCCCCAAGATAATTCCAATGGGAGATCCAAGGATCGGTTTGGAGGATGTTGTTTGGGGAGCGGGCTCCCTGCTTCTTTCCCAATATTGTATGCTGCCGTCATTGCGGCTTAGAATAGGCCATCTGAGGCCTGACCGCCACACAAATGCCACCTTCTGTGTGAAATCTGGCAAGGAAGCATCTCTGTTGTCTGTTGGCTGACAGAATGTCAGACTTGTTTTTTGGAATAGGTTGTGCTCTAGTTCAGCCAAAATGGAATGGCTATTTCCTGGTACCTCCCCGTGGTGTCGAGGGTGGCTTTCTCCAGGCCACTGTTTGGTTGGCCCACTTCCTTTGCCAGCAGGTGTCATCAGGAACATCGAGGTTACGATGGTCATGAACTTGGTTAAATATTTTGCAGGCTCCCTGTGTTTGAAGTCCTGTTGCCTCTCTAGGACCTATTGGTCAGCCACGCATTCCAGGAGAGGTTTCTACTGAAAAGGGAACGCGAACAGAAACTACTGTTGACGTGACAGTAGTGGGAGAGGGACTTTTCCTGAATGAACAGTGACTCCAGGCACTCCCAGGCCCCTCCCAGCCGGGGCACAATTACAAACACCATGACTCTGGTGCCCTCTGAGAATAAATGTCTGTTGGTTTTCCCTGTGATCTGTACCCACTCTTGCTGTACATACTGTAACCTGCGGTCATGAGGAAAGAGTGTCAGGACAATCAAGGCCAGGCTAAAAAAATATGGATCTGGACAATTTGTCCTTTCAGAGAAGTTCAAAGTTCTCCAGTGGTTCAAAGCACAGCACACACTGTCCAAAACTCTCCCAGCCAAACTGGTTGATCCTGTCACTTGGGTCACACAGTGTATTCTTTGACCAGGCTCTCTGGTCTCCTGGGTGCCTGTCTCTTGCCGTCCCTGACGCAGGAAGAGTGATGTGAAGATACCACTGGTTGAATACCAGGGTGAAGTCTGTGTGGCACCCTGTGTAGCAGAAACGTGTCATTTATCTAATGAGTTTGTCAGTTCTCCAATTATTCATAGTTTTTCCAGCCATCCAATAATGAGAACCTGTGCCAGTCTGTTCAGGCTGCTATAACAAAAATACTGTAGACTGGGTAGTTTATACACAGAATAAATTTACTGTTCACTGTTCTGGGGGCTCGAGAGTCTTAGCTAAGGGGCCAACGGATTCGCGGCTGGTGTGAGCTGTTTGTTCCGTGGGCAATGCCTTCTTGCTTTGTTCACACATAGCAGAGGGGCAAGCATGTTCTCTCAGGCCTTTCTTACAAGGGTGCTATCCTGATCATGAGGGCTCTACTCCCATGATTTAATCACCTCCCCAAAGGCCCTACCTCATAATACCATCACACTGGGGATTAGGTTTCAACATGAATTTTGGAGGAGACACAACCATTCAGAGCATAACAAGACCCCTCACCTGAAAATTCACTGCGGGATATCACTGTTCTGGTTTGTCTATTTCTGGAAAGACAAAACAAAATGAGAGCAAGAAAATGATATTACTAACACTCCATTTCATCTTGTTTCTTTTTGACAGTTCGCGAAGTACTCCGTGAAGAGCACTTTAACTGTTGGAGACCAGTGCAGTCCTTTGCTAGCAGGCTGGAGAACACGCCATTGCCTTGGACCTGCGAAGGTGACTGGGTACACGGGGGATTCTTTCTTGTTAGTTTGCCTGAGGAATTAAGGAAGGGTGTATGTCCTTTGGCACAGGTGAGGAATGAATTGAAGAAAGTACTGTTTATGACAGTGCTTCTCAGTCCTATCAGACCTGATGTCCCTTTCCGTAACAAAGATTTTGTAATGCTCTGTGGCCAATGGCAAGCATGGCTACAAACCCCCATCTGTGTACACACTCCCTTTGCGATATGACATCGCTCCTCTTCTCGTCAAACGGTGGTGTCCGTTTCTCTATCTCTGTGAATGCAGGCTGGCCTTGTGTTAATCATCACCAACAGGATGTAGTGGACATGATGCTGTGTGACTTCAGAGCTAAGGCCTCGAAGGCTTTGCAGCTTCTCCGTCTCGGAATCCAGGAACCCTGTGAGGAAGCCTGAGCTAGCTACCTGGAGAGGTGACATGAAGGAGAACTTAAATGCCACAGCTCAGCCCTACCCAACTGCCCTATGTGTGGCTATCCAGGACTGGCCAGTCCCATGCTGACCTTGCAGCTAAACACAAAGACAAAGTGCACTCAACCAGCGTGCTGTGAGCAGAGGTGAGCCATCCCAGCTGAGCCCTGCCCAAAGTGCCAACCTGTAGGATTGTGAGCAAAGAAGTGGTTATTGTTTTAAGCCACTAAGTTTTGGGGTAGTTTGTTATGCACCAATAGATAACTGACATTCCTCTTTATTTTTTGGGGGGAAAGTCATAGGTTATATAACCCATTATGAATATAATTGAAAAGAAAAATGTAATATCCTAATTGTAATACAAGGGGATATAAAAGAAAAGTAATTTATATTAAAATAATACGCAAATGCTAGAGCAAAACTATGCTTAAAGTCATAATGAAACAGTTAAATGTGCCCAGAATCACCACAAACTCTCTACTACAAGTGTAGACTGCTACAGTGACAGTGACTCGGCTCGAGTGGCATTGTCATCGGTGACGTGATTTTTAGAATGGTGATTGGTTGAGTACAGAAAACAAATAATTTTACTTCTACTGACATAGCGGTCACGTTCTTAGAAAAAATGAATTTTATATATAAACTGTACCCCAAACTTCCTTTGTGTTTGTACACAAAATGAAGTTGCATTCTAGACTCAGATGATTATAAACACATTCAAAAGCCGAAAGAATTCATCACCAATAGACCTGCACTGTGAGAAAGATTAAAGGAAGTCCTTCAGGCAGAAGGAAATTGATATTATATAGAAATGTGGATCTTCACAAGAGAAGAATAGCACCAGAAATGGCAAATACATAGGCAGATATTTAAGATATTTTACTTATTACTTAGATCCCTTTGAAAGATACTTGACTATCTTAAAAATAATAATGCATGACAAAAATAGTACAAAGATCAGGAGGAAAAAAATGGAAATATACTACTATGTGGTTCATATCCTGTGTATAAGTGATACAAATCTGTTGGATGTAGACAGCGATAAATTAAAAATCTATACTATAAATCTCAAAATCACTATTAAAATAACAAAACAAAGACATATAGCTAAAAAGCTAACAAAAGAGATAAAATTATAAAAAATACACGGTTAATTTGAAAGGAGAGAGAAAACAAAGAAAAAACAAAGAACGGATGACATGAATAGAAAACAAATGCAAGTTTATAGATTTAAGCCTAATTATACCAGTAATCACATTAAATGTAAATGGGGAGATACCCCAATTAGAAGGCAGAGATTGTAAGAAGGAATAAAAAAACAAGACCAAATTATATGCTACCTATTAAAAAAAAAAAAAAATTGACCTTAACTATACAGACAGAAGGAGATGGAAAAAGATATACCATGATAATAATAAATTTCAGAGCAAAGACTATTATTAGGAATAAAAAGTTCATTTCATAATGACATTGAATTCCATTCAGTGAGAGTGTGTCTTCACAATTTATACACCTAATAACAGAACTTCAGAACAAATGTAGCAAAATCTGGCAATTCCAGTCAGGGGTTTCAAGACACTTCGCTCTGTAATTGATAGAACAAGGAACAGAAGATCAGGAAGGACAGAGAAGACAAAGATGCCATCAACGACCTCGACCTAATTGTCATTTGTAGAATACTCTACCCAATGGTGTGAAGATGCCCCTGCATTTCAACTAGGCATGACATATCTACCAAGATAGATCGTATTCTGACCACAAAACAAGTCTCAATAAATTAGAGGTTTCGAGTCATACAAAGAATGCTGTCTAACCACAATGGAATCAAATTAGCAATCAGTAACCGAAAGATAGCTGGACAATTCCCAAATATTTGGAAATTCAGTAACACACTGGTAAATAACCCGTGGGTCAGAGAAGAAATCAAAAGAGACCTTGGAAAGTATTTTGAACTGAGTTAAAATGAAACACTACATATCAGACTTTGTGGGATGCTACTAAAGGGGTACTTATGGGGAAATTTGTTCCATGAAACACCGATATTAAAAAAGAGAAAGATCGCCAATCAATGACCTCAGTTTCCACCTTAAGAAATATGAAAATGAAGGGCAAAGTAAGCTCCAAGTAAGCAGAAGAAAGGAAATTAAATAACACCAGAGTGGAAATCAATGGAAAAACCCACAGCAATAAAACAGGGAAAAATCAATGAAACCAAAAGCTGATTATTTAAAGAGAGCAATAAAATTGACAAACCTCTATACAGACCGATCAAGAAAAAGGAGAGAAGAAACAAATTGCCAATATTAGACATGATAAAGGTGCTATCACTATAGAGTGCACAAGTTATTTTAAAGACGATAAGAGAATAATATGAAAAACTTCATGCCAATAAATTTGCAACTTACAGGAAATGGACAGACACTTTGAAAGACGAGAATTGCCAGTGCTCACCAATGGAAATTAAATAACCTGGGTGGCCCTATACGACGCAGTCCCAGTCAAAACAGAATCTGTAGTTAAATGCTTCCCCGCAATGACAGTGTCAAGCTAACATGACTATGCCGGTGAAAACTGCCAAACATTTACAGAAGAAATAGCACCAGTTCTCCACAAACATTTTTTAAAAATTGAAGAGGAAGAAACTTCCCAACTCACCGCATGAGGCCAAGACAAGACAAAGGCATTACAAGAAAAGGGAATTACGGACCAATGTCCTGTATAAATATAGATGCAAAAAATCTAAACAAAATTTCAGAAAATTGAATCAAACAATATGCAAAAAGGATAGTACATCATGATCATGTGTGGTTTAACTCAGGAATGCAATGTTGATTTAATGTTAGACAATAAACCAGTTCAATATGCTATATTGACACTGTATGACGTGATGGTGTTGAAAATCTCATGAATATACAAAAAAGCTACCAGAACTAAGAAGTTAGCTTAGCAAGGTGTCAGGATACAAACATAAATACACAAATATCAATTGTGTTTCTATATATTAAGAATGAAAAAAATTACAGATTGAAATTAAGAAATATCTTTTATAATAGCATCAAACATATAAAAATGTAAGGATAAATCCAGCAAAAGCTGTGCAAGTTGTGCACACCGAAACATACAGAACATTGCTGAGAGAAATCAAGGAAGATCTAAGGAAGTGGAGACATATATTATGTCTGTGGGTCAGCAGAGTCCTTATTGTTCACGTATATCGATTCTCCCAGTCACTATATGGATTTAATGCAATTTCAATCAAAATCTCAGGAGGTTTTTTTTTTCTTGTAGCACTTGACAAACTGATTCCAAAATTCCTGGGGAAATACAAAGGAACTAGAAGAATCAAAATGACTTTGAAAATAAAGATTAACATTATTTGATTTCAAGACTTATCATAAAATGACAATAATCAAGCCTGAACAGTATTGGCTTAAAAATAGACAAATATGTCAGTGGAACAGAATAAAGTTCAGAAATAAACCCACACGTATATGGACAACTCCACAAACCAGAGGTGAAAGGATAATCTTTTTAACCATTGGTACTGGGACTTTGATTCGAACGTATACAAAATTTAACTCAAAATGGATCCTAGTCCTAAACATAAAATCTAAGGCTGTAGAACTTCTAGAAGAAAAATAGGAGAAAACATTTATGACATTGGGTTAGGCAAAGGTTTCTTAGATATAACAACAAAAATATGACCCATAAAATAACAAATTCATAACTTGGACTTCATCAAAATTAAAAACTTCCATTCCTCAAAAGATATTCTTAGGAGAACAAGAATGCTGGGAGAAAATATTTATAAACTGTGTATCTGATGCAGACTTGTGACCAGAATATTTAAAGTACTCTTAAAAGCTCAGTGATAAGAAAACCAATAATTTAATTAAAATTTAGGCAAATAACTTGAACAGACACACTTCACCAAAGAAGATATATTGATGGTGGATAAGGGCATGAAAAGATGCTCAATATTATTAGTCAGTAGGGAACAGTAAATGTAAAAAATGAGATAACATTATACACCAGTTAAAATGGATAAATTAAGAAGATTGACCATAGCAGGTGTTGGCAAGGATGTGGAGCAGCTGAGGCTCTGCAGGTGAGACTGCGGAATGAATAAGACTCTTCGGAAACCAGCCTGGCAGCCATTCTGCTCCACCCGAGAAATGCCACATGTGTGAACGTACATCCATACCAAGACTTGGACCCGTTTGAGTCCAAGCTTTATGTATGATTGCCAACGTCTGGAAACAACTCAAATGCCTATCCATAGGTGAATGGAGCAACTGTCGTACATCCATACAACGGAATACTACTCAATAATAAAAAGTAGACTGTTAACATGTGCTACAACATGGATGACTCTCAGGATAATTGTGTCTCATGAAAGAAGCCAGATAAATAGAGTATGTACAGTATGAGTTCATTTATATAGCATTGTAGAAAACACAGAGTATTAATAATCTATAGTGACAGGAAACAGATCTTGCCTGAAGATGGTGAGGGTGGGGGGAGTACACAGAAGCATCACAAGTGGGCACAAGGGAACTTTTTTGTGTGGGGGGTGATGATATTTTTATTATCTTGAATGTATTGATGGTCTCACAGGGAGAGATATATATCACTTCAAATTTTATATGTAATACACTTAAGATATGCAGTTTATTGTATATCCGTTTTACACTAATAGAGTTGTTAAAGATTCAAATAGCACCTTGTAAACAATGCGATCAGCAAAATTGTTTCCCCCAATTTTCCAAATGCCCCCCCGACCTGAGAACACTGGTTGAGAGTAATAAAATCATTGTTGATGGTTTACTTATTTACCCTTTATCCTCCTCATATATGCTGTGTCCCAGGAGACATGATCCCCCCAAAACTCCATGCTTTGGTTTGAGTTTGTTTTCCATCCCAGGGGCAGCCGGGTAACTGTTCAGACCTCACAAAATATCACTGTTGTTGCTATTGTTTTACTGCACAACTGATGATATTAAAGGCTATTCCTTGGCTTTACATGTGCCATCCAAACCCAGCCCATCCCGAGCATCTTGCTTTTCCTTGCCGTCTTTGTAAACTCCTTGACTTTTCTAGTTTTTATTTAGTTTAACAAACAATTGTTGACGGCCTATATCACGGCTCTATTCTGCTTAGCACCATGAGCTATTTAAGGCAGAAGTTTT